TGAATTTGCATAACTTCCATCCAGGGGACGGGTACTCTAGCTAATAAGGAAGCAACTTTTCATGTCCTAAACTAACCTTTCATTAATCATGAATTTGCATAACTTCCATCCAGGGGACGGGTACTCTAGCTAATAAGGAAGCAACTTTTCATGTCCTAAACTAACCTTTCATTAATCATGAATTTACATAACTTCCATCCAGGGGACGGGTACTCTAGCTAGTTTAAAATATACTAATATTGTCCTTGAACCGGTAAGTACGTTCTGATTATTCTTGTAAGTAGATATATATAAATGAACATTTTCTTTTTCAATGCTACATGTATCTGTTATTTAATTTTTCTTGGCAACATGTGTACTTTTTATTTCCAGATGACACTGTGTATATATGGCTGCCTTTTCCTTTTTGAAGACCTTCCCTTATCGTTGATCATATGGGGAGTGGCTAGTCAAGTTGCACATCTTTTTATGCTACGCACCTTCCCATTTTTTGTTTTGACGTCAGCACCGTTGGTTATAACAGTCGGTAATTTTAAATCTAGTATTTTTTGCATATTAAGCGATCTTAACTCAAAAGCATTACAGTATATATATTTTTTTTAACATACTAAAGTAGATAAGTCATTTGTCGTGGAAGGAAAATCCTGCTTATAGTCGAAGTAATTCAGTGTACTGTGTATCACTACCTGATGATCTTATATCATGAGAGCAATATTCTTTAAGGAGTTTATCTTTTATGCATGGGTATGATAATGATCACTTTAACATTTTCATACAAAATTCTTAATGTTTACTTAACATCTTACTCTGGTACCCACCCAGTGTTTACTTAACGTCTTACTCTGGTACCTACCACATGTTTACTTAACGTCTTACTCTGGTACCTACCACATGTTTACTTAACGTCTTACTCTGGTACCTACCACATGTTTACTTAACGTCTTACTCTGGTACCAATCAAGTGTTTACTTAACATCTTACTTTTGTACCTACCAGATGTTATTTCTATGCTGGCCACATTTATCGATATCTTTTTAAAAATCTTATTGAACCATAAACTGTTTAATCAAAGACATTTCTTGGTGATAACTGAACATGTTCACTGCAGTAAAAATTCTCCTCTTCGTGTTTTCAACTAGTACAGGTTATTAAAACATAAATAATTAGCTGAAAACTAAGTGAGCAATCCTTAGTAGAAGCTTAGAAAGGTATTGATATGATTAATATTACTGGAGTTGGTAGAATAAAGGTTTATTATAAAAACAGTAAACTTGGAAACTATCGGTGATTTCTTATACTCACACGTCAGTGACACATTTTTATTACATGAATATCGATCTCGTTTGTTTTTCTTTTCAGTACTTGTATTTTACAACCACTACCTTGCCTTCAACTATTTCGGGTCTGTGTACCATCCTTTTTCTGAGGTACGTACTGGCCGTCATAACGAGAAAGGTATTTAGTTAAATAACTTTTTGAGACAGTTAAGTAAGAAGTGTTCACGAATTACACGGGCCTGCAAATTTAAACCTCGTAAAAGTTGTTTTGGTTTTAATAATGGATTTTCCATAATTCAGCTACGCCGATTTAAAAAATAATATTCATTTTTTTCAATCAAAGTAAGGATTTTTTACAAATTATGAAGAAAAAAATACTCTTACTTAGATCAAATTATTATTTTGTTTACCACAGTGAAAATTTTGTATTATTATGTCTGGGTTCTAAAACGATCAATAAGACTCTCATGTTGCGATTGGTCGAGAGAAATCTATAACCAGTGGTTGTCAACGTTTTAAGCATAACAAAATGTGACCCGATTTCAAGGAAAATGATTCACTTATGTAAAAGAACATTTGACATTTTGTGAAAAATCTGTACGTGATGGAGAAAAATGGATATCATTTTCAGATTCAGCGTACAGGAGTTACTGTAGAAAACGTATCAAATTCAAAACAATAAAACCATCCAGGCCTGTGTTATTCATGTCCTAAGAGTTGCGGGTTACTGAAAGAAGTTATACAGTAATTGAATAATTTTTTGGAAAACATAACTTAAGTTATAAAGAAAAACACAAACGTAATTACATAAATGTTTTGGAACCTTCAGAGTTCCGTGTTCAGTAATCTCGAAGTACAAAACAAACATAACGGTAATTACACTAAAAATATGATGTTTGTTTTATCTTGGCTTTACTATAACAGTGTTTTATCTTGGCTTTACTATAACAGTGTTTTATCTTGGCTTTAATATAACAGTGTTTTATCTTGGCTTTAATATAACAGTGTTTTATCTTGGCTTTAATATAACAGTGTTTTATCTTGGCTTTACTGTAACAGTGTTTTATCTTGGCTTTAATATAACAGTGTTTTATCTTGGCTTTAATATAACAGTGTTTTATCTTGGCTTTACTATAACAGTGTTTTATCTTGGCTTTACTATAACAGTGTTTATCTTGGCTTTACTATAAGTGTTTTTATCTTGGCTTTAC